GGGCTGGAAAGCAGTCTGACTTTTCCTTCACAGCGACCCAGAACCGAACCGCTCGGGGGAGACGATTCTAACCCAGCGGTACCCGGCCAGGCTGTGGGACAGCGGCGAGCCGAGGCGCCTGTCATCCCGAAGGCCAGGACAGACAGGACCATCCCTTATAGTCCGGAGACGACAGCCCGTCTTTCATAACAGGGTAATGACAATACTGCGATTGCACGCATAATAATAATAGTCGCTATAAGAATAATGCATCAACCAGCTCGATAGACGTGCGCATCCCAGTTCTGCATCATTCCTGGCGTCCTCTGATAAAAAGAATCCGCTTTTGAAACGAGAAAACGTCCCTGAAGTTGTTCTGTAGCTGCCAGTGACAATGCTACTCTAATGATATATCAGCCCGTGTGTAACAGCTCTCTCTCCTGTGCCCCTCCAGCCCCCCTGAGCGACACCCCCAGCGCCTGGATGGTGTGACTGGGCTCGCCAGTCGCCCCCAGCCCGGATAGTGATCTCGCCGTCTCACCCCGGCTTGTCGCGCCTCTCCACCGCCCCACCGCGCCTCCTCGGCCCCCCGGCTGTGTCGCCATGGGTAACCGGGGGATGGAGGAGCTCATCCCGCTGGTGAACCGGCTGCAGGACGCCTTCAGCACCATCGGCCAGAGCTGCAACCTTGACCTGCCGCAGATCGCGGTGGTGGGCGGCCAGAGCGCCGGGAAGAGCTCGGTGCTGGAGAACTTCGTGGGGAGGCAAGTATCTATTCGGCTTACTGCTACCGCCGCCAACAAGGAACAGTAACGCCGGGGCGGATACGAGACAAGTGAGCGGCAGCCCTCCTGATCTCCCTGACGCCCTCTTGCACAGCGGCGCGCCCAGCACCTCGCCCGCGCTGTTTATATATCTGTGGTGCCAATGCAGCCAACTCGTGCTGTGACACAGCCGTGCTGTATTGTACAGGGCATTATTGACCTAATCCCATCTGCGCCTCTGACAAGGGAGACTCGGGATTGTTCCCCCTGTAACGCCACAAGCAGCCCTGGTTGCCAGCAGGCCCCACAAAAATCAAACAAACATACGGTGCACTCTGTAATGTAATGGGACAACGTTGCTTTCCTGATTGTATGGTAATGAGTTTGTACGATCTATCAAGATTAATGCCATCCCATGCCATTTTGCAAGAAATACTAATGCTACACTAGAAGAAATGCTGCTCTTCCAATATCAAAATCTTATTTCAAATTCATATTCTCTATTATTTGGGGATAAAAGCTTGGGTAAACAGTGCACTCTACTCTTTTATGGGTGTTTAAAAGGAAATCCTTTTTTCCCCTAAGTATATGTAGAAAGTCCAGATGCAGACAGTGTTTGTGAAATGATTTAGTCTTGAATGGTCAGCACCTTCACTGTTCAGTGTGAAAGGCAGTTAGCTGTGTCAGTGTCCCCCTGGTGTGCACCATGCAGGTGGAGCTCTCTGTGAGGCCTCTGGCTGTTTTCGAAATAACGTTGCTGGGCTGTGTTTTCATGATTGAGCCGTGCCCTGTGTGTGGTTCTCTGCAGCACATTCAGACACAGAATACCTGCACCACGACTTTAATGAGCACTCAGAGTGCTTTGCAAAGCCAGACTGCAGAAGGGCAGAGAAAAGAAAGTCATCAAGCAATTAGAAATCCTTTTAAAACCGTTTGCCAAAGCTGATGAATCATAGAAAAAGTGAGGCGCATACAATCTAAAAATATTTTGACTGTTTAGTGTTAATACTGGAACACAAATACAGAAATGTTCCAAGGAGTTGAAATGATTTAAGGATGATTTTCATATAGAGGGTGTCTAATGTTAAGGGAGATCTGTCCTAGATAAACATTGTCTGGTTTTATGGACTTGCTATAAGGTAACCTGCTGTCAGCTATCCATTCAGCCATTTTTAACTTTACTTCCATCAGGGAGTAAATATGTAAATAGTAGTATTTACGCTTTATAAGCGTTCAAAGAGTCCAGCTATTGCTGTCTGCTACTATTACACAGATCATTCTTTTTTGTGCTTTGTAATGATTTGCATGGGTTTACTGCTAATGAAAGCTGGACAGAACATGTACACAATAAGGTCTCCTGTGGGAATGCCGTGTTTGAAGTGCGTAGGTACACAGAGGCTTGCCTTTTTCCCCCGCGAGATTTTCGGCCATGTGGACTGAACACTGTCCAGCTGGCTGAACAGACTGGAGGTCGGGCAGAGGTAGGGCGGCATGAGTGAGCGCCAGTGGCTTGCAGCCTGGAGGGGCTGTGGTGCCTGGGCTGCGATACGAGACGTGAGGCTTGAAGGAAAGGGCCTGCCCTCCCTCGTTCCCCCCTGGCGTGTGGATGCAGGGTTTGCAGTCATGAGCTGAGATGTGGATAACCCACGGTTCACTACTTCAATCCAGCAGTAGTGGAGGATTTTAACAGAAAGATACAGAAGGTTACAAATGTTATGAATGCTCGAGTGGGTAGTTTGTCCCAGATACCCACAACTCATGACACAAAAATGCCTCCCATCTATCGTCATAAATGCACCTTCTTCAAACATCTGTGTTGATCTCATGCCCTTTTTTTTCGTTGTTGTCAATCTCAGTTCTTGCCTTTTTTGATCTCGGTGTACTCCCTAATTTTATTCACTTTTTTTCCATTTTTTGGAGGGGTTTTGCATACTTGAATCAAACCATTTTTAGACTAGACACAGCTCCTGCCTACCTGGGAAAGGTATACATTTCTGACCAGGATTTATTGTAATCAGCGATTGATTGCTACTGGGATGAAAACGTGCAGTGTGTTCTTGAAATGGCAGTTTGAAATTGGGGAGTGGATGAGGGACGTGGCCCTGAGACTGTTCTCAACCTGTGATGGGGCAGTGCTGGGTCGTGTCTTATCACTCCTACTGGAAAGAGAGTGTCGGTACTGAAATGCTGCCAGTTTTGAATGACCTAGCAGATGTGTGTCGAGGATGCAGACATGCTAATACATTTGCATGCTGTCATGTGAACTACTGTAAATACGTTTTGTACATAGACTACAGTACATGCATGTACAGTAACTGTGCAGTCTGACACAAGAACATGTATGCATGAAGTTACAGGCAGACACATGGTCCACACATGGGCACTGGCAGTTTAGCATTTGCAGAAACGTCCTCTCAAGCTGGTGGCATCTTGGCCTTTGAATGTCGGTAAGGATAGACTGAATAGCATTAGCAGCATGTAAAAAATAATGAAGGCAATAATGGAGACATGTTTCTTTTTAACATATTTAACTATCAGATGCTATTTAACACAAATTACAGACTAGTTCATGCCAGATGAGATTCTTCTCTCTTTACCTGATTTTCAGTTTGTGTTGTTTTCATTACTGTTCAGTGAAAAGTGACTTCTTGCAATACTTAACACACCCCATGTCATTGCATTTCATAGGCTGATTTCTTTACCAGTTGTATTACATGACTGTATGATTTTCAGTTTATCAAGTAGTATGTGTTATTCATGAGGCTAGTTATAGTACACATGATGATCCCTGGATCCATACAGGGACACTGGGATGTTTACAGATTTGTGCAATTCCCAATCAACTGATCTTTCCTTGGGAAAATATAGATAAGAGAAGACTTTATTGATTCTGTAGGGAAATTGGTGAAAAGAACAGTTCACAGAATTAGACAATGTAAAGGATTCATTTTTTAAATTACAAATGCACAACTAGATCTACAGATATAAGCCTATATGGGGAAATAACTGCAGATTGATAGGTACTTCCACTATTTAGCAGACTTGTAGCCCCTTCCTCAAATCCAAGAGTCAGTCCAGTTTGAATGTCCAAGTGACCAAAACTCAAAATGGTGACATTACGTAACCTGTTTTGAATCTGACATCCAAGATATGGATGCTTGATATACAGGATTACAAGCCTAAATTGTAAAATCCAAGTGTAAAAGGCATTGGTAAACACGTTCATTAACTTATAACCAAATATAAAAAAGTTTCTATTGGCAGAAAATCTTAAAAACAGGATACTTTTTTTATTTTCAGGATTATTTCTTTTCTCTGCCAAAACATAAAAATAGAACCGCAGTATCCTTCAGAAAAAAATTCAAACCCTGAATACATGGAAATATTGTGTGCTCCGATATTCTCTCAATATTCCCTCAGTATTACAAATATAAATTATAACACAGATCAAGTGTTGAATCCAAGGTACCATCCTTTCTGCATTGGCAAAGTATACAATCAGAATCCTCTTTACACTGTTATGCATATATAGTTTTGAAAAATAAAGCTTGCATTTTTTATGTTTATTAAATGTTTTTGCCACCATTTAGATTAATTGATCTTCCTTGATACACAAATGAATTTTGTCGCACAAGCACTAAATCAGTTGATTGGACATAAGTAAGTGAATAATCTTGCTCTATCCTGGAGAAGATCAAGAAATAAAAGCACTGCGAAGCGCTGATATGCCACTCTTTTCAGGAGAACAAAGCTTTTGTGCCATCATTATGTTGGGGACTTTAATAAGTGACTTGCTCTCTGGGGTGTTCACAGCCAGCAATTTCTAACCTGGCAAGTTGCAAGCAAATGCAATCCATCCACGACATGGGTGACCACAAGTCACAACACCTTATCAAAACTGACACATAATTATGCTCCACCTTTGTGAATATTTTCTCGTATCATCTGCATCGGAAATTCTAGATCACAACAAGTGACAGCAGCCTGACTCCAAACTCATCCTGAATTGATAGCGTTCCAGCAAGATGACACCTGTGAACGTGCTGCTTGTATAACAACAGCGTTTGAAATGGCTTTCCTGCTAGTTGAGAATGACTGTTGTATCGCATAGGCCTTACATGCCAGACTTGAACTGTGTTGAACATTTGTTGCATGAGCAAAGTCAACATGTGGCATCTGGAGCTCAGAGACCAGTGAATAGGCACACGCTTGTGCTGGACCTGTGAGACAAATCCCTCAGCACAGTTTCTGCAAGTTAGAGCAAGGCATGTGTTACAGTACATGTTCAGCTTCTTCATCGGCTGCTCCACCTGCTATTAGCCTGTAACTTTCACAGCAGATACCCTATTGATGAACACCATTAAACATGTCCATTCAATGAAATAGAAAATATATTATTACCACGATATAACTTTGCAAGTATTTGCACTAACAAGTGGTATAGTAAGTGTCTTTTGATGATAGTTTGTATATTTGTAATTTTGTGAGCTCTTGGTAATACAGGAACGGTTTCTTTAAAGTAAAAGATACATTTGCTTGAAAAGGACTACACTGCAAAACCACACAGGAGTCCTGTGCAATGCTGATGAGAGAATCAGCTCTATAGGACATGTCTGTACTACTTTAATAAAATACAAATTGCAGGGAGTAACTTGACAGCTAAATCTCTGACCCAGTTTTGAAAAATCAGGCCACAGTCATCCTTTCCTTCAAACACTGGCTTTCACCAGATCCCTCCCCAAAAAACTGAATCAAAGCCTTCAGGCAGTCGCAGAGTCCACACCTGTCCAGCTA